AAAAAATGTAGTGAGTAGAAAGTACAGATAACTGTGCAAAAATGTAATGAGTAAAAGTAAAAAGTACGCTGAAGAATAATTACTCAATTAAAGTACAGATAACCAAAATGTCTACTTAAGCACAGTAACAAAGTATTTGTACTTAGTTACATTACAACTCTGCCTAAAGTGTACAGAAATACACAAGTTCCACCTTGTCATAAAACAAACGAAGCCTTGCTGCTTCTGCATTTTCATCCAGGAGCTGCTGATCAGATGTACTGATTCATCATCAGTGTGATCAGCTCCATAAAAGCAGGAGTTTTATCAGTTTGCTGCTCTGGAGCTGCATTAACACAATGTCAAGGTGGGAAGATATGGAAGCAAATATGTAACAATATATCAGCAATGACTAGAGAAGAAACCGTTGCTGCCCATCAATCTGTGAAGGGTCAAAGGGCATTTCTAAATTACTTTGAGTTCATTTTACAGAGAGCTTATTCATGAGTGGAAAACATTTATTACAGTTTTAAACCAGGGCACAGGAAAGTGTTCTTGACTTTGATTTTAACTAAACCTTAAACTTGAAGCTAAACTTGAGGCAGCACAAGCAAGCACAGTAGAGCTGCACATGGATCCTGCTCCTTCTTGGCTGCTGGCCAGTAGGAGAGAAGTTGACCCAGGAAAGACCGCCCACCTTATTTGCATAAGGAGGCAGAAATAAGGTAATACAGGAGACAGAAAAATGTAAAAATAACACAAAAAGATTTGGGAAAACTTGCGTAAAAAATAATGAAATGCATTGCAGGAAATACTAGTATGCAAGTCTTTTATAAGTTTTTTCTGTTGTTATTATGTTTGTTTTTGTCTCTTTTATGTCAACGTGGACCATGAGTCTATTGAATAAACGAATCATTCATTCATTTAAGAGACAAATGGATGTACAAGTAAAAGTAAAAACAAAGGATATAAATATTTAATTTAAATTATATGCTAAAATTGATAATTTATTGGAACTATAAGCTGGAAAAATAAATATGAAAATCAGTTAAATTATAAAACATGAGGTAAACTTCTCCCTTTTTAATTGTATTTATTTATTTGTCCATTTATATACAGCGGGTAAAATAAGTATTGAACACGTCACCATTTTTCTCAGTAAATATATTACTAGAGG